CCAAAGTTGTAGCCATTTCTTTCCCAAAGGGTAACTCACAGGGTATAAGATATATCCTTCTTCCCTGGCATATTTCATCTTGGTCTTGGGGTGCTATGCTAGCTACAGTGAGGGAAAGGGACCTTTCAATAAAGCACTTTTTTGGGGAAATAAAAGTGTGGACTGTGCTAGGAAAAAAAACAAACAAACAAGGTAAAGTGTACATGAGATTTCTCTGTAGTATTTTTTCACAACTGCATATGATTACAGTTATGTCAAAATAAAAAAAACAATGTAATTTAAAAATGACTTTAGCCTGGCCAGTGTGGCTCAGTGGATTGAGCATCATCTCATGGACTGAGAGGTCCTGGTTTGATTCCTGATCAGGGCTCATGCCCGGGTATCAGGCTCGATCTTTGGTAGGGGGTGTGCAGGAGGCAGCCAGTTGATGTTTCTCACATCAATGCTTCTACCTCTCTCTCCCTTCCTCTTTCTCTAAAAAATCAGTAAGAACATATTAAAATCAAATAAAAATAAAAATGACTTTAAATGCATTGTGTATTCTTCCATTTGTCGAAAATTAAATACATCTGCATACTCACATGTATAATCAAGCAATCTGAATGGATACTCAACAAATGTTCACAGTAATTGTCCTTGGGTATGGGATTTCAAGGAATTCTGCTCTATGTTTGAATTTTAAAAGGTTATATGAGTAACATGCTTAATACATAAATATTCTTATTGTAAAATAATAGATGTAGACATTAAAAACAGATCTTCTCCCAAATCTACCCTTCTCCCCAAAGGTAATAATCATTAGCATTTTGGCTTGTCTTCTTCCAGACACAACTCTATAATTGCATATATACATGAATTTTTTTCAGGATCATTTAAATAAATATAATTATTCCTTAATTCTGTTGTTCCCCACCACCCAGAAAAATATGTTTTGTCACCAATATTTGGAAGCAGTTCAAATGTCCACCAGTAGATGAGTGGATAAAAAAAAAAAAACTGGTAAATTTACACAATGGAACGCTACTCACCATAAACAAGAAGAAAATCTTACTTTTTGCAACAACATGGATGGATCTGGAGATTATTATGCTAAGTGAAACAAACCAGTCAGAGAAAGACAAGTACCATGTGATTTCACTCATATATAGAATTTAATGAACAAAATAAACTAATAAACAAAATAGAAACAGACTCACAGCTATTAGAGGGGAGAGGGCCTGTGGGGTAGGGTGAAAGAGGTGAAGGGTTTAAATAAAACAACCACCTCATAGACACAGTCAACAGTACAGTAATTACCAGAGGGAAAGGGAAGTAGGGGAGGTAGAAAAGGATACAGGGCAGATAAATGATGATGGAAGGTGACTTTACTTGGAGTGGTGTACACAAAATAGCATATGCAGATTATATATTATAGAATTGTACACCTGAAAACTATATAACTTTATTAACCAATGTCACCACAATAAATTCAATGTAAAAGTTTTTAAAATATGGCTATGTCTACAAACATTTATAACTACTTGATTTTTTTAAACCAGGTCATAGTTATCCATAATTAATCTAATAATGGATTTAGATTACTTTCCAACTTTTACAATTTTGAACAACACCATATATACATTCTTGAAAACCTTTTTGCAGATATAAAAATACTTCTATCTAGAGGATCAGTTCTTAGAAATAAAATTGCTAAGCAAAAATATATATTTATTTTAAAATTTGAAAGAAATACTAAATTGCACTAAAAAAAACTACAGAAAATATATACCTTCTAACAGCATATGCAAATATGTTTCCAAACATATTAACACAGAATATTAATCAAATCTTTTAAATTTAATTTTTCAAATTTAAATCGAGAAAATGCAAAAATAAACTACATTAAGATCTCTTTCTTTATGCCCAGCAAGACAAAAGAAAAAGAACTTGGCTTCCTTTCACTTCCCTTCCAACCTACCCATACCAGCTCTGCCAGCATCCACATTGGAATCATCTGTGGTTTAAAGTTCAGATTATTTTTTTAACATATGCACCAATTATTTAGACTTTATTAGTTTTACTGGTACCTTTGCATAGCATTCCTTGTTTTCCTCTTTGTTTTACTTCCTTTGTTTTTACTAGAATATGGCCTCAAGCAATTCTTTCAAATGGGATCGGTGGCTGGAAAAAGTTCTAAGCCTCGGCATGTCCAAAAATATAATTAGTCTTCACTCATGAATGCTACTTCACTGGGAATAGAATTATAAGTTTAAAATGATTTTGTTTAAAATTTCAGAAGACCCTTTTCTATTGTTTACTGTACCCAGTAAATGCTTAATCAAAGCCTGATAACAGGCAAATGATTTTCACTCATTTGAATTTAAGCTGAAGTCCTGAAGGATTTTAGACATTTTTCTTTATCCTTGGCGATCTGACATTTCACAAGTGTCCATATTTAGGTCTTGTCTTATATACCTTGCATAGTATCACATGGTCTTTTCAACCTAAAAATATACTGCTTTCTTCAGGTCTAGAAAAGCGTCTCTTCTATTTTAGTTAATCATTTTCTCCCATCTGTTCTCTCCTTTCTTTCCTGGGACATTGCTGCTCTTACATGGATATGGAAATTCAAGGTTCTTATTTCAGTTCTTTTCATGTTTTTTGGTAGTGGTGTGTTTTTCTTATTATTATTTTCTGTAGTAGACAGAATAAAGCACCTCCCCCCAAAGAGGTCCACATAGTACTACCCAAGATGTAAAAATGTTTGGCCTCACATGGAAAAAGGGACTTTGCAGGTGTTATTAGTTAAGAATACTGAAATGGGGAGATTATCCACAATTATTTGGGTGGACCCAATGTAATCACAATGGTTCTTAAAAGAAGAAGGAGGCAGGAGTAGCAGAGTCAAAAAGAAGTGACAAAAAAAGGAGAAACCAGAAACAAAGGAAAGAATTATTTGAACATGTTCTAAAGCTGGCTTTGAAGACAGAAGAAGGGGCCACAAGCTAAGGAAAGCAGGTGTCCTCTGAAGCCAAAATATCTATTCTACAGCCCTGCTAACATCTTAATTTTAGGATTCTGACCTCTAGAACTATAAGATAATCAATATGAGTTGTTTTAAGCTACTAAATTGGTGGTCATTTATTACCACAGCAACAGAAAGCTAATGCACTTTCTAATTAACCCTTTGTTGTTTTGTATTGCTTTCTGTGTGAACTACTTTATTTTGCAATATAGTATAATGAGTTGGTTTTTAGCTCTGTTGTATCAGCTATTTAACCTATCAATTGAAATGTATGGTATTGATTAAAATTGTTTTTATTTGTAAGAGTTCTGTTTTTCCCTCCCTTTAGGTAACTATTTGTCTTTTATGGAGACAATGTCCATTCAAATCTGAAAATATTCATTATGACTATGATAAAATGTTCTTTATTCCTCCACATGATCTCTATTTCCTCAGTGTTAGAGTTACCATTTGTTGAGTCTGGCAGCTCTCATGGCACTGTTTCCAGGAATTATATGATGATTCTCAATTGTTTGCTCTTGATTGTATTTGAGAATCTTATTCATTTGGATGATAGTTCTGGTTACTCTAGCCTGTCCCACATGACTGTAGGGAGAGAAATGATAAAGACACTTTGGCAGAATGAATCTAGATTACCATTTGAGTCTAGAGAGTCCCTTCCACAGATGACAAGTTGATATGAAAAGTAGAGAGCAGCACAGTGTGAGCACTGACAATCAGAGCAGAAGCCAGCATAGACCATATTCACTGGTGTCAGTCAATGAAACCAGCCTTCTCCCTTTCCCTCCGAGAAGTCAAAAATTGTCTGGACTCCACCCTCCTCAGAAAACTAAACTTATGTGTTGATCTCAGGGAAAATGCTAAAGTAAGTTTTTCCTTTTTTATTATTTTCTAAGTGGGGTGTGTGTGTGTGTGTGTGTGTGTGTGTGTGTGTGAGCCTTCCTCTCCTATTCATCTGGAGTTATTTCAGAATTTGCTTCTATTTAGCCTCCTATTTCTCCACCAACAGAATGTAAGTAAAGACTTCTGCCTGAATTCAAACTCTTTGCTTATGAAATTTGCCTCATTCTGCCCAAATTATATATGTAAATCTCTATTTCACTTTCTTTTTTTTAACTTTATGTAACATGGGAGCTTGCACTAAAGATGTGTCATTGTTCCCAGTTTCAAAAGGGAATCCCTTGCAGCTCCACAGAATCATGGGGAGACGGGAGAGTGGAGGAGGCTCTTGACGTGCACAGGTGCGAGGAGTACATTCAGATGCACCCTAGAGTCACTTTAAAGATTTTCTGTTGTCACCTTTCAAAATAAAGGTGTCAACAATTAAGTTCTAAAATACATTTAAAAATAAAGAAGTATATTGCCCTAGAAAATGCAGAAAGTATCAATAATAAGTATCATAAGACCCTGGCTGGTTTTGCTCAGACGTTAGAGCGTTGGCCCACGGACCAATGAGTTGCGGGTTCGATTATGGTCAAGGGCCTCGGATGCAGTTCATCCCCAGCCCTGGACAGGGACATGCAGGAGGCAACCAGCTGGTGTGTCTCTCTCACATCAATATTTCTCTCTTTCTCCCTCTTTCTCCCTTCCACTCTATCTGAAGATAAATAGAAAAATATCCTCCACTGAGGATTAAAATAAATAAATAAGTATAATAAGATTTTAGTGTCCTTATTTGATACAAATCCCAAAAGTCCAAAATCAAAAATCTGGAAGGAAGTTAAAGTCAACTAATTTGAGTCTCTTGTTTTACAAATGAAGAAACTATATCCCTCAGAGTTTATGGTTTTTAAAAGAAACAAAGTCTTTTTCTGCAGAACCAGATGGCTATTCCTAAACCACTGTGCTTCTATAATAAATTATTTCAAGTTTTCTAAGCAAAAAAACAAACAAAAGATTTTATACCAAGATGTAGAAATTTGATTCACAGATTCATGGTACCATCACTCGCCAACCTGCAAAGCTCAATGGAATGTCCTCAAATAATCACTCTCACCTCCATGTGGACTGTATGGTCCACAGCCAATTTATGTTGAGGAGACACATCATCACAACTGGTATTTTTCCAGAGATTAAAATCTTCAGAAAGTCGCTGCACACACCACCCAGAGTGTTACCAGATTTTTCTGTATTGCTAAATGGAAATGAGCACAATTTTGTACTTAAGTATCATTTTAACTCTACACAAAATTACTTTTTAAATTTTTTCATTATGTGCCAGCTATACTTTCACAGAATATTAGAAATAATTTTCTTTACTTAATCCTAGTAATATAACCCTTTTCCATTTGAAGACATTTTCCCCTATATTTTCAAGTGATATGAAATTTACATGACTGATGTAGCGTTACATAGGGTGCAATTATAAGTGTTAAAAATGCAACTGGCATTCTCCTCTTCCTTTCAACTAAAGAAAAATTACTGAGTAATATCAGTGGAATAAAGCTTCTGCCAAGGTCGCTGGGGCAAGAATTATATATTACATGCAAATCAAGCTCGCATTACAATTTTGTGAAACAAATTCTCAGAAAACTCTCAGTTAAGTCCATTTTACTATCCATATAGGTAGTGACACTTTTATCAGACTATATAATGGTTTAATAAGTCAACATTTATACCCACTGGTACACAACTTTTACTTAGCCCACGTAGAAACTTAACGATGTGATATCAGTTATTCTGAAGAACCATTTATGGGCAAGTTTCTAATAACAGGCTATTTTTTAATAGTCAACTTTTAATAAGTAATACATGCTATAGCTAATCTTTATAATATATATTTACAAACTATGAGATTTATAAATTTTCAAATTATTTATATGATTATCTTGCTTATGCCACAAAACAACACACTGATGAAGGTAAAGGCAATTTTTACTCTACAGATGTTATATGCAAGGTAATACATGACCATCGTCCAGAGCACAGCACCTGGCCCAGAGGTAAACTCAGCAAAAGTGTTCCCTGTCTTCCAAAATTTGCTGGCAAGTGGCAAAATTGGGCCTGGAAGCCAAATCTTTTGTCTTCCAATATAATATTTTATATGCTATACCATATTGACTCTACAGATAAAATGTGAACTTGGATAGTGAAATATCAACCAGCCAGTCTCCTAACTGCAGGGCAAGAGAGGGCTGCAGTTAGCTCTCAGAAGGACCATTTTGCCATTCTCCTGGGCTTCATGTGGAGAAAGATGCCAACGCTATTCTCTCCCTGACGGTGAGCACCTTCAAGCGTGGAATAGTAGATAGAGAAAAAATGAGCTCCCTCATAGCTCCCCATGGTCGTCTCTTTTTTTCTTCTTCTTCATTATGAAAAATTTCAAACATACACAAAAGTAGAGAAGGATAGTATAGAGAACTCTCACGAACCACCACCTGGCTTTAACAATTACCAACATTTCACTTACTATTTTTTAGACGTGACACTTATGAAGCCTAAGCTGATGTTTCAGTACTGATGGCCATGTGATTTCCATGAGGTTCATGAATGAGGCTGCTAGATAGGGAGACACTGTGACTCTCATACCTCTTATTTCCTGCCCCACCTCCAAGCCAGAACACAAATTTACTTGAGGTCTCAAGAGCCAAAATACACAGAGTTAAAGAGATGTTCTAATTCATCTATCAATTCTTATTTGAGTTCATTGTGACTTGCTCATCCCAAACATTAAAACTTGAGTGTTTTCCTCTCAAGTACAAATCCACTGACTTGTGAGCTCTCCATTTCTGAGGGTTTGAAGTTGCTTCTAGTGTTCTACCTGAAATTACATTGATATCAGAATGCTTCTTGTCCTTCCTGCTGGAGCTTAATGAAGAGTTGCACACTTTTCATGGCTAGAATGTCAACTTTTACAAAATAACTACACATTAAATATTTATCGAATTTATCATTTTCCTCATAAATTCCAAAATTTAATTCATATATTCTGAAAGTTTAAAAACCTATCCTAGATTGAGGCAAAATGGTCATTCCAGAAATTATATAATTTAAAACAACAGAGAAAAAAAGTAACTTGAACCAAACCACTAAAATTTAATTTAATTAAATAAAAAATAAATCCATAATTACTTACACCAGCAGGAATAAATAGCTACCAAATTCCTAATATATTAATAAACTCATCACTAAACTACCTGTTATCTTTTTTTTTGCTCTCCCAAAGACTTTTTTTTTTTTTTTTTGCATTTATCTTCAGATAGAGCAGGAGGGAGAGAAAGAGAAATACTGATGTGAGAGAGACACATCAAGTGGCTGCCACCTACATGACCCCAACCGGGGCCAGGGACAAGCTGCAACCAAGGTACATGCTCTTAGAGGGAAGCGAACCTGGGACTCTGGTCCATGGGCCAACGCTTGAACCACTGAGCCAAACTGGCCAGGGCCTACCTGTTTTCTTTTCCCTGCTAAACTTTATGTTCTCATCATAAAATAAAATGGCAGTTATAGAAGCAAACATTGCACCAAAGTAAAAGTGGCACTTGGCACACACCCGTGACCATCTTGTGACAGCCGTACTCAGCATTTGGGGAATGCTTTCATCCTGCAAGTGAAATCCCTTTCAGTGGCACTTTCACAGGTTCTTTGAAAAAGCGCCTTTGAGAAAAGAAAGAGCATGTTGCCTCAACTTTTACAAGTAAGAAAAGTGAGTGATCCAGGCTGTTACTACCTGGTTGATAGAGGAAATCAGTAGACTCCTACAGGTTTGAATTGCTAACTTCTGGATCATTCATGCAGTCACTTAACAGATTTTACTGAATACATACTACAACCTTTCCTATCCTCAAGGAACTTACAATTTAGTAAAAGGAAACAAATCTGTAAAGTGAGAACTACCATAGTAATTATAATAAAACTGTGTACTTACTTTAAAGGGAACCCAAAAGTAAAACGTGTCTATTCTACTGAGGTACAGTAGAGGACAGCCTCACCAAGTGAACCTTGAAAAATGATGAGATATTGATCAGGAGGCCAAAGGTGAGGGAATGAACTTCAGGCAGGGGGAGGATCATGCACATAGCATGGAGGTCTGAAACTGCATGATCCACTCATGGAACCTCAAGTGAAGTGGTTCTGAATACCTGGACCTATGACCACTCTCCAATCTAAACCTCAGTAATTCTGAGTGTCCCTTTTAGCCCTATTTGCATTGGTAATGCAGAGCTTCCACCTGTGCTGCTATTATCGATCTACTCTATCTGCTTTCAAATCAGGAGGCTGTTCCTCAGGTAAGGAGCACAGTTGTAGGTATCCATGGAGGCAATTAGCCCACACTTGCTCCTTGCCAATGTGACTGCATCCTGTGCCTGTTTTCTTAGACCCCTGGGCACAGAAAGAAGTGTCACTGAAAGCATTTTAGACAGAACTCCTTGGAAGTAGAACCTACTGCTGCCAAAGTGGGAAGTGGGAGTATTGGGGGTGATGGATCACAGAGACTATCTGAAACAGTCATTGTACCAACATCACAAGGAGCCAAGATTTGCCTAGCAGAGGGCAAAGATGGCCAAGGTAGTTATCAAAATAATTACAAAAAAACTGTTGCTAACCATTTGTTGTCATTACTACTGTGCCAGGTGCTTTAAATATATTATCTCCAATCCTCACAATAGCCCTGACAAGTATTTATTTCCTGAGTTGTATGACTGGGGTTCATGGAAGTAAAGTTGTTCCTGCAAAGTCAATCAGTAGAAGAATAAGAACTGAATTCATAACTATCTAACTCCAAAACTCAGCCTCTTTCTGTGACAGCACTTCTATAAAAGAGCATAATGTGATGACGTAGAATTTCACACACCAAGTATAATTTCATTATACATGATGCAGTTTACATACACTTTTAACATTCCAATTCTGTTCAACAAATAAATATTTTTAAGCAACTACTATGAAGCAGGGAATCAAAATCAAATAAAACAAAACCTGCCCTCAAGAAACTTAATTAAAATCTACTGGAAAGGATAAGGCACAGACACAAATAGCTCTAACACAGATCAAAATACTACTTTGACACAAAGGTAAATACTACTGCAGAGGTATAAATAGAGGTTTCTGGATATTTGTATACTGAAGCCCCACAGATCAGAATGTAATTAAAATGTTGACTGAGCACTTACTATGTTGTAGTTCTTGTTTTCAGCACAGTTGACCCTTGAACAACTGGCTTTGAACTGAGTGTGTCCACTTTTAGGAGAGGTTTTGTTTTGTTTTGTTTTTCAATACAGTTGGTGGTCATAGCTTCAGTTCTCACATCTTCACATTCAACAAAGCAAGAATGGAAAACAGTATTTTCGCATTCCCAACTGCAGTTCACCACAGATCAAAAATACTGTTTTTGATCCAGTTGGTTGAATCCGGGTATCAAGGGCTGACTGGAGTTAAGTTTTTGAGGACTCAAAAGTTACACGTGGATTTTCAACTGTAAGTGGAGGGAAATAGTGCTTTGCATCCCTAAAACTTAATTCTTTCACTTGTACAAACACTGTTGTGCTATCCCTTCTTGGCCTCTTCCTCACCAGATTGAATGACCATGATTCCTTTATGCTTTCCCTTCCAACTGTATTTCTGGATGATTTAATTATTTTAACTCCTTTCTTCTGAAGTCTTTCATAGGTCCCCACATCTTGCTGAAATTGTGGGCCCCTAAACAAAATTGTAATAAAAGCCTAGCTAATGTTGAGTCTAGAAGGATTAATGAGATTTTTTATCAGACTTTTTTTTGCTGAAAAAAACTAGAAACTTGCCTTAATATATAAAAATATATTTAAAACTTTATATATCATTGATCCACGTTGAGTTTGTCATTAATTATGAGATGTTTCATCCCATTTTTAAACATAGCTGGTGTACATTAATGAATAAATATGGTTTTAATTTTTCTTTTATATAGTCCTCTGTCCTTTGCTTCTTTTTTTCAACCCAGTTTATTTGTACTTTTGACACTATTGTCTGAGTAACCAGTGGCCCATGCTATCAGCAAACTTAATGCATGTGCACTGCATATATTTGGCCATCATTCAAATGCTGATAAAAATATTAAATGTCAGCCCATCAACCAT